GGTCTACTCGAATATAAAACCCCCATCCAAGATACATACATTGGGTGCCTCCTTCGATGATCAGCTCCGCAAGAAGTAGTCCATAGTTGGTTACTTATCTACATCACAAGAAACTAGATGAGCGATAACTTAGTAAGTTAATAGATGCATGCAATACATGTTCATATACATCTAGGTATGCAGCACCGCTTTATGCAAAGTAAGTCTCCTTTTTTCCTCATGTCATAAAACATAAAACAATCTGAAAAATCCTTTTTCTATCCGTAGACATGTCCCATTTAGGTGCTTCGTGGTTTTCATATTATATGTCCGGCGAAACGGACCCATCTACGGACGTATCCTACCGAGCCTCTAAAAGTGCACATCCGCACTTGCTCGCCCCGAACCATTATCATTACTCGTATGAAAAACCCATGAAGTCCTTTCCTCAAAATCTCAAAGTCATGAAAATCTTTTTCTTTAAAATCATTCCGATTGCTATCGGATAACCATGACATGACATGACATATATTTTCATGACTTAAAACATTATTCATGAGCTAAGCATGCGTATGCAATTGCAATGAACCAGCATGCTGTATAAATTCATAAATGCTTACTTTGAATGGTTATGTAACCAAATCATAAGAATTGATATAAAATTGGACAACATAACGAGCATATATAACATCAATCCAAGTATAAACCAATACCACCATTATTGACACATCAATCATCATAACCTAATTCTCATCACCAATCACATTCAAGCATAACTATTATTCATAACCTAATGCATTCATATAGCATTTGAAAGAACATAACCATAACATTAAGGGAGATGAACATTTTTGTTCCATTTCTTTGTTCATTACTTTACTTTCCTAAATTCTTTTCCTTAGGTTTTTATTTAGCTTTCTATATTTGGTCTTTACCAAATTAAGTATCATTTCATGTTTCGACCTAACTAGGTATTATTTCATTGATTTAAGAGGTTCAATTTCAATTTGGGCCTTAATGGGCCTAAGGCCCAATTTTTCCTAACCCAATTTTTCTTTAAATTCTTATGAGCCCTTTTCATTCTAAACCATCCTTTTACTATTTTTTGAGTTTGAATCATCAAATTTAAGGTTTAGAACTTGGTTTAAACCTAATTTCTCAAAATTTTCATTTACGCCTAAACTTTACCTCTTTAGAATCCTAACATTTTCTTCTCATTTCGTCCTACCATTTTAACACTAAGTAGCCTAGATATTTAAAAACTATAGGAATTAATTTAATTGAAATTTGGGACCCAAAATCTGATCCAAACCCGTATTGGGCCTTAATGGACCAAAATTGGGCCCAAGCCCATAAAACCCATTTTCTTCAATTTTTAGCAAATTTTCCATTTCTACTCATCAAAAAATTCTTGTTTAAGTGTGAATGACCCATCAAACCAGAATCAAATTGCTTTGAACTCAAACCCTAATTTGCTTAGTTTAGGTTGAATATAATTCCTAAAAATTAATGGATTTTTCTTTAATCAAAGTGTAATTTTTCATTACTAAACATTAATTCATGCTCAAATAAGTCAGAATCAAGTGTCAAAACACCAATTAAATGAAAGAATTCAAAACTCTCAAATTTGGTTCATCAAGAACCATAACCTTAATTTTTCTTAATTGAGCAATTAAATCAAATCAAGCAATTAAACATGAAATTGACTTGAAATTAAGCATAATTGTTGTGTAGTTGAGGTTAACTTACTTGATTTAGCTCCAAATTAACCTTGAAAAGGTAGGTTGCTTGAGAATTCTCTTCCTCTTTTTTTTTTTTTCCTAAATTTGAATTAGCTCTTTTAATTTTCTTCTTGAAGGTATTCAGCTTCCAACTTGAAATTAAAGCTTAATCCATTGATTTAGAGGGTCTACAATTGGCTAGGATTATTTTGGGTAATTTTTGAGTGAAAATTTTGCTAGAGTTTCCTTTGTGTTTTTTAATTTTCCTACCCTTTTTAATTTTTTCAGCATCCCTATTTATAGGAAAATTTAATGGACTTGTTGACCTTATCTCGTGCCCTTAATTTGGGTAAATTTCAGCCCTTAATTCAATTTCCAATTAATTCTTTTTATTTGGCTAAAGTTTTGGCCATTTGTTTTTCTTTTTGTTTAAGCCTTCCATTTAGGTTAATTTCAGCCACAAAAGTTACTAGAAGTCAAAATTAATTAATTCTTTAGGTCGGTCAAAGTTGGAAGGAAAATGACAAATTTTGGTCCTCCAAGTTTCTAGACTTTTTCATAGCCTATTCTTTCCTAAATCCCTCTTTTATACAAAAACTCACTTCTAATCCTCCCTTTTCCATTTCTAGGACTAATTTTTGACCCTTAAAATTCTTACATAATTTAATTTGGATTATTAGACTTTTAATTTTATGCCATTAAGTCCCTAATTTTAGACAATTTAGTCCCTACTTTCAAATTCCATTCTACACTTTTCAAAAATCCAATTTCTTTCCATAATAAATTCAAAAAATCATTAAGGGAGTTTGGTTTAAATTTTCATAATTTTTGGCTCTCAATTGGGCCTCCAATTTATTTATTTAGTGTGAAAATTACACTATTTTCTATTAAAAATATTCCCTATACTTATTAAAATTAACTTAATTTTTCTAGGCACTCTCACATATCCCATATGATTATTCTATGCTCTTAAAAAAAAAATTCCTCATACTCTTAAGGTGCCTAATTAAATTCTTTACCTCTAAAAACACTATTCCTACACTTAGAAAATTCAAATGAAATATTCACCATATGTAGAAAAATTCATAAAATCATATAAAATAATCTAACACTCTTCTAAAAATTATTCTAAACAAACGAAATATTTTTCATACACAAAAAACATGCTTTAATTAATTTTCTCATGCAAGTAACTACTACGCATGTACCAAAAAACAACTAAAATATTCTTTTAAGTATGGAAAACTATTTTGACCCTTCTAAATATTATTTTAAATTTCTAGTAATTATTTCTCATTCTCAAATATATATAGTTTTAATATTAAACTTTTATTACATTCTTATTTTAGTCATTATCGAGCATTACAATTTTAATTTTGTAACTTTTATGTTTAGCAAATTAGATAAAAAAAAAAATTCATAAAAAATGTGCCTTAGCTCAAATAGAGGAAGAAACTCTTAGAGAGTTTTAATTATGGTGGTTGCTCTCATAATTATGCATTTTAAGAAACAAGACGAAGTAGATCACGAGGAAGAGAACCCTAACCTCGGGAATCAAGGATGAAATAAGAGCATTAGGGTCAATTTGCACTACTTGGAGACAATAGCCCAGAAGACCATTGGGCTATTGTAAAAAGCTGATCTGGATCCAACATTAACATGGGCTTTTTCCTATGTGGAAACTGATTTTCAGGTCAGTTTTGAGAGCGTCTATCTGTCCTAGGTGCGTGAACATATTAAAATGAATTGTATTAGTTGTTGGTGAGTGAAAAACAATGTTCACCTATACAACATGTGATCCATCTAGAGTAGCCATACTCGGTCGGGAGTTTTGATCGAGTGCTCTGGAGTGACACACCTGTTTTCTGACCGCATGGCTGGTATCACGTGTGTTTCGTGGCTGACTGGGGTTGTTTGTCTGTCAGGTGAAGCGAAGCAGGTTCTGATAAAAATAGAACGAGCCATTTATTTTAGTAAAATTGAGGAAAGCCAAGAATTTTATGAAAGAGTCTCGATGACATCTTAGATATGTATGGGTTTGGGCTGAGTTTGAAGTATAGGGAGACTGAGAGGAGGACTGTCTGCATCAATCACCGACCCGAGAAATAAGGCCTGTCATCTTTATGCACCAAAATTGCACATGATTGATATATTAAAAAAAAAGACTTCAATTGTCAATTTCACATGACTTTTGGGAGAAATTTTTCACAAGGAAAACGCCAGAAAACCAGCATTTTTTGACAATCCATTTTTCTTCTTTTTTCTAATGAGAATAAAAAAATCTATAAAGTTTCTCTCTTTGACAAAGTACTGCAGGTAAACATCAAAATTTTTTATTTTCCATTATTGGAATCGAAGGAAAATTTAATTAAAAAAATAAAATGAATCAAATTGTATTACGTGCAATTTTTATTTTTATTTTTTTTATACATAGCTTATAAACATGATGTAAAAAGCTAATTACAAAACAAATATTCTCTCAAGGAATTTCAAATTGAATTATTTTAGTTTATATAATTTTGAAAAAAAACAAACACACAAAACAAATTGAACGGGAGTTAGTTGGAATGTTCGGTTCCTGGTTTTGCACCATGAGGTCAATATATCACCTCCATTAGAAAATCTAAAAGTCTTCTTAATTTATAAAAGTAATGGTTGTTTTACCAAAAATAACCTTTGGAAACGCGCACATACTTTCCCCAAAAAAAAAAAAAAAAAAAACCATGATAATTCGCACCAGTTGACTAAAAAATATAATAAATGCTAGCAAACAACAGCACAACATACACATATCTGAATTTTATAAATCCTCAGATAAGGTATGGCCCATGCCATCCCATTCCATCCATAGCCCTAGGCATCAAATACACATGATAATCCCTTTGTTCCATTAGTAAGGCCACATTCATTGAACCATTGTGTCCATTCACAACACACAAACAAATAAAAAATCATCCCACTACCAACCCAACTTGATTTTTTTTTTCCATAAAGCAATGAAAACTATTTGAAGTTACAGGACAAATCAAGCAATATCAGCAATGAACATAAATGCCTGGCTTATTTTCAGTCTTATCAAACTAATACTAACAAAAAACAGTCACAAAACCAATAGGAATCTATCTAAAGATAATAATAATAGCATAACCCAACAAAATAAGCAAGAGGTGGCTATTCCTTTTCAGGTCTGTACATCAGCAAAAGATAAAATTCCAGTCACCTAATTTAACCTTATCTTATCTAACCCTATTTCTACTTAATTATGAACCAACCCTTCGTTTTATGACTTGTTATCCTTCCTCAAGCAACAATGATCGTGTTATCACCATTTTTTAAACTTGACACCGCCTGGAAAGCCGAATGCCTTGATAAGGATTCCCTCTCATCAGACGGTAAGGACAGTTTGAGCGACAATGGTGATGAATCAGCAGTTGAATTCACATTTAAGTTAAGATCAGGCATTGCTGAAGTACAATGACCTGGAGCCACGGGAACTGGCCGGACCCGATTTGTTGAGTGGTTAATGGATTCATTGCCTTGTCCAAGTGATCGGTTTTCCATTATTGGACTCTCTATTTGGGGAGGCAGCACCGCAGGACTGACAGTTCTTACAGGGATAGCTCGCACCCCCGAGAAATTGGTAATACTGTTGGCTTGCAGTGGTGGAGGCAGCAGTTGATTTGACCGAGATGCATGGTTGTTGCCCTTGCTGTCCTGGCGATGAGCTTGCTGCTCTTCCATTGGAATTGCCGTCACCTGATAAAAAGTAAATCAAGAAGATGCTCAAAACTTTTTACCAATTGCTTGGTGGAGAAAACAAGGGACATGGAACAAAATGCCTGGTTTGGAAATCAAAAACAGCTAATAGTAACAACTGGTACAACTACTTGGCAAGTTCAAAGTCAATAGCTAGAGTTCTAAGGAAAAAAAAAATGATGACTTTCATACCAGGATTACTTTTCCTTGTCGATCTCAACAACCAGGAAAATATTTATAAAAATCTATTAAACTTTTACACAAATAATCTCAAGGGATAAGCATTTTTTTTTTTTCTTCTTTTGGTGCTGTAGATATCTACACAACTGACATAATAGATTCAGACCTCCAATCAACCAAATCCATATTCAAATATTCATCTAGATTATTAATCTGATTTAAGAAATCAAAACACGAAAACCAAATCAATACACAAGGCTTAAAACATTCAGTTAATCAGGATCCCTTGTGGAAAAAATTCAAAATTAGGATTGATATTAAATTTCTCTGATTTAAAAAATCAAAACAAACCGAATCATCAATATACAAAGGCTTAAAATAATTCAGTTAATCACGAAGCCCAGTAGCATTGATGGGTTGTGATATAGCTACCGTATCGGTGGTGATATCAAAGAGGCTAGTTCGGCGGCGGCGGCGATTGACATTATTGAGGCGGAGAAAATGCTTCTGAGCATGACTAGCGACCTGAGTTGGAGTTCGAGTCTTGACAAAATTGCGAGAAATTCCTCTCCAATCTCCTTTTCCCACTTTCTGCAATCCAAAAAGGAATCTCCTGTGCTCCTCCTCTGTCCATGGCACTCCTGTTTTACAATCCACAAAAAAAAAATAAATAAATAAATAAAGAAAATAAATCATAACCAAATCCACAGAAACACCAACAAACAGAACAATTTTTGTTTTTTTTTTTACCCAAACGAACAGAAAGAGAGTAGTATTATTTGTATCTATAGGTACCCTCATAACATCAAAATAAAATTTGACTAGATAAATATTCAGAAAAGCCCAGTTAATTAATTACGCATGCCAACACAAATCGAGGATTAATAAGCTAATTAATCAGATTTTTTTTGGATCAAACAATAAAAAGTTTCTGATTTATCAATAAAAGAAGGAAGAAGGAAAAAGAAAAGACAATATTGATTAACGATTTCAGATCAAAAGGAAACCTCGCTTTCGCTCACCACGTCTTCCAGAGGCAGAAGAAGAGTGGTGAACGGTGTCGTCTGCAGACATATAACCAGAAACAGCAGCAGCAGCAGCAACATCCTCCTCATCATTAATAGGCATCTCCTTATAATACTGATACTCAGATACATTATTCAAACTCACATTCCTCCTAAAGTTATCAACCACCACTCTGACTCCAAACAACCTGATCTCTTTCGGCTTCATCTCCGCCGCTCCTTCACCACCGCTACCGGTGGAGCTACTCCCAGCCACCATCTCTATATCTCTCTAAACAAAAATAAAGAAAAAATAAAGAACCGTGAATAACTTTTCTTCCGTACTAGCTACAAACAAGTGAATTCAAGAGTTGGGGGGTTGAAAATAAGTACGTGTATGCTTATATAGGTGAAAATGTTTTTAGGACAAGGGTGGGGCAGGGGCAGCGTGCCACTTGTTTCCGTCTCTGTCCCTCTTTTATTTCCTGTTTTATTTTCGGAAAATATAAAGTAAGGAATAGGAAAAAACTCGCGTGGTTTTTTCGTCATAACGTCAGATTTGTATTGAATTTTGGGTAAGGTCTTTCGAGCATTTAATAATCTGATTTTGTTTTCGATATTTAATGATTTATTTAAGGTTAGTTTCTTCTTTTTTTAGTATCGTTTTGCCTTTCTGGATACGGATATATATAGCCTAGGAGTATGCTAATTAGGAAGCAGCGAGAACTAATTAATATTCTCTGCCCAAAGAGATTTCTTTTTTCATCCTGATTAAAAAATTAATAAAATATATTTTAATTAAGAATATTTAAAAAAATACTTAAAATTGTGATTAGATAAATATTTTGAAATAAATATAAACAAAAAGTCGATAATCTCTTTGATACGGAATGAGTAATTTTTTTTAAAACCGAAATTGATTATTAGACTTACAAATAAATGTCATTGAATAATACTTAATAAAAAAAAAGCATAATTCTGCTGTTATATTTTGTGTTAAATCTTTGCTTCCTTAAAGTTAATTTCTTATTTGAGATATTCTTTCGGATATTTTCAGGAAAAAGAATAAGGAAAAAAAAAAGATACTGTTGTGCACGTTTAAAATTTCGAATTTCAAGTTATATTACTTGCGCAGCAAGAATTAGAATAGTTGGATAACTTTTTATGGAGGTTGAATGGTTGATAACTTATAAAAAGACTAACGTAGTCTACAGAGTAAATGATAAATTAGTCTATCTTATTTTGAGAAAGAAATTAATTAATTTTTTTAGTTTTAAAAATTAAATTAATTATTTTATTATTTTTTAATTTATTTCTATTTTTTGTTTTAAAAAATAATAAATAAATAAAAATATTGATGATAAAAGAATAAATTTTATAAAATATTAAATTAGTTATAATCAACACTAATTAAAATGATTAAATAATTAATTTATTTCTTAAAATAAGAGGTATTAATTTATAATTTATTCACAGTCTATATGAATATTTATCTCAGGGCGCGTTGTATTACTATATATATATATATATATATATTTAGGATTTTTTGTTTTATAGAAATCTTGTTTTTACTACCAAAAATGGCTTCACATGTATTTAAATTTTAAGAATTTTATCTAATTTATCATTATATATTTAGTTGTATCAAATCTACTTGTAAAAAATTGACGTGTCTCACCGATTCTTCATCACATTTTCATCGTTACAATTAACATAAATACATCATGTGATTTGCATAGGATCAAGTTTAGATTTTATATGTCTAAAATGCTCCTCGTTAAAAAGTAAAGAATAAAAAAAGATTATTTATGATTCTAAATAGGATTCGATAAACTAATAATTAATGCTCAGTTTTGATAAGTTGCTTGTGGAAGCTATTCCACAAGTAGCAAGTTTTTTTTTTTTGAAAAATCTGGCCTTTTATTTTTTAAAAAACATTCTTTGATGATAGATATTTTGAACTTGATCATATGCAAATCGACTAATGTACTACTCCGTTAGTTTAGGTGGTGAAAATCTAGCGGGAGGATAGATTAAAAACATAACATTTTTTTTAAGATAGATTGGATATAATTATATTAAAATAGATTAAATACAATTCTCAAAATATAAAAATATACTAAGTCATTTTTTCTAAATTTTATATTGCAGGCCCAATAGATTTTTTGAAACGTAATGGTGGTAGCTAGTTATTTCTATCTTTAAATCTCATTCTATCCATATGGTTTATTCTGATCAAAACTTGAAGTGGAAATCCTAAAGTTCAATGCTAGGCTGTCCATTTGAAGACTTGTCATATATTGTTTTATTTACCATTTTGTCCAAAAAAAAAAAAAAGTTTGAAAAAATTTTATTAGGTCACAAGCTCTTCGAGAAAGATGGGAAATTTAAAAATTGGAAGAGTAGTCACCCAAATTATATCACCCAAATCCGGTTAAACCAAAAAAAAAAAAAAAAAAAAAACAACCAATTCTTAAAAAGTTAATATCAATATATTTAGTATGATTTAAACAATTCATTTTTTGTCAATATGTAATTGTCACCGAGGCTAAACCAGTGCTGCGAATTGCAATTATGATTAAATTGATCGAATAACAAATTTGAGAATTTGAAGTTTTAAACTAAACCGAGTTTTATTGGCTTTCCTAAACAAACCATGCTCATGAAAGATAATTGTGAATTGATTAATCCTCTTAAAGAATTAGATAGTCATGATGTCTTATTAGAGACCAATCTTGATTTATGTGTCAAGAGATAAAAAAAGTATATTTTATTATTGATACAATGCCAATATATCTATGAGCCATATTGAGTCATATGCATAAGTTTAAGCATTCACATAATAAAATATAAATAAAGATTTTGGCAAAGGTTTTCAGTTTTGAAAGTTTCCTATTTTGGAAGAGGTTTCCAAAAAATGAAAAACTTCTTGTTTTGAAAAAAAGTTTCATAAAATGAAAAGTTTCCTATTTTAGAAATCGGTTTCTTAATTTGAAAGTTAATTCTAGATTTGAAAGTAAGTTATCTAAAAAGCAAATTAGTTTTCTAATTTAGGTTTAGGATGATTTGGAAATTGTTTCCTAATATGGCATTTTAAAAAATATCCGACCTAATTTATTTGGATAGTTCAAATTAATTGATAACTAATTGGACCAAAAAAGTTTGGGTCAATAGCTGTAATTTACAAGTCTATAAGATATTTTAATGGAAGGATAAATTCGAACCCTATTGATAAGGCTCGGGGTTTTCATGGATAAGGTTAGACAAAGCTAACGTAGGCAACATCTCTTTGACTTACTAAGACATGCTGCCACCACTCCCGTATAAATAAAGAAAAGAGGCGAGCATCAAGGGTAAGCTAGAAACACACACATGACAAAAACAAGAAAAGAAGAGAAAAGTGTTTTCTTTCAAAAAACCCTAGTACCCACACCTATCCCCATCAAAGCTAATAGTTGGCACAAAACCCCGAATTGATTTTTAAAGAAAAGTTAACTACACATAAGGATTGAAGCTAGCATTCTACAATTTATGTAGCTTCTCTTATGGGTGTTTAAACTATGTGGATTATTGATAGAGACCGGACACTTGGACGACTCCTTTTTGTAAAGCCTAAATATGTGTTACATATTATAAAAAACACACAATTAGCGACAGATTATTTCGTCGCTAATTAGCTAAAATCCATTGTTGAATTAGCTTAGCGATGAAAAATCGTCCGTCGCTAAAACATTTATCGCTAAAGTTAGCAGCTAAAAAATACTTTTCATCGCTATATCTATGACCGAATGTTTGTCGCTATTTTGGTTACGAGACCCATCGTGTCCGACGTCGCTAATCCATCGCTACGACCATCGTTGATTAATGATTGACATGTCATCGCTAATATTCGAAGTTAAGTGGACTCATCGCTAAATCGTCTCTATTCCATTGCTAATTATCGTCGGTATCCGTTGCTATTTCGTTGCTATAAGCAAGGATTTTTTTGACAATCTATTGTTAATTATTTTTTTACAAAAGAATTTAAATATTTTTTATATTTTGTTTTATTTGCTTGTTTTTAAATTATTAACTTTGTATGTAATAATTAACAATTACAAGTAACGATGTATAAATTCAATATAAATCAATATTACTACTAACAACATTCAAGTAGTACGTATGATTAAAAAAAAAAACAAAGTAACAAAATATGTTATCGAGTCATCCTACTTGTCTAATCCCCTATCTACCTCCCGATACTCGGATGAGGGTTCGGCAGGAGGCTAGGTGAGAGTAACAATGAAGTTCGACTAGTAGACGGATCTATAGGCAATCCGATTCTCTATGCCGGTCTCATCACTAAGAACGCCATCGTCTTGTACTAAGAGTTAAGCTTATGTATGGTGCTTTGTTGCTCCATGACAAGGTTTTAAAGATTGTCTTGTTTGACATACATCCCTTTCATTGCTTTCTTCATTGCCTCGTAGTCCCTCTAAAGCTCATCATTAGTAGGGTTGATGGTGTAATACAACGACATAGAGAAAGAGCTACCGTCACTCGATTGAGACAGGTAATGCATCGCTTATATGCTTACACCATATATCCTTTTGTTTTTCTCTCCGAAAGCTTCGAGGTATATGGTATTCTTGTCAACTTTTAGCTCCAAGATTCCTTTCTTCTACTTCATCGCAACTCGCCTCTTGGATGAGCTCTTCAACACACTCATTTGCAATCGAAATAACAAAATCGTTATAAGATTAAAATAAATTTTAGATTATCTTTCCATATATAAAATTTTAAATTAAAATATACTTAATATTATTTGTTGGGAGTACAAATTGATGAAAAAACCATCTCGATGCTTGTGAGTCACCCGAAATAACTCAAAACTTGTTAGCTCATGGCCCAATCTTGCTTTTTGAAAAAAAATGAATCACAAATAACATGAGATGAAAATTTAAATTTTCTAAAATATGTAATTAATAATAAAAAGTGTGCAATTGATTAAGTGATGGGTGTGTTCTTATGTAGATATGGAGTCCTCTCGTATTTCGAAAAGACCCACACTAGGGCCATTGGTCTTCGACAATCGGTTTCGTGATGCTTACTCCGAACAAGCCATATGATAAGATCTTACGAAATCTTGTTTCCATGCATCCTAAACCTTTTATCTAATAAAATAGGCCAATCGACCCGCAAACTACACTTATAAATGATATCGACATAAGGTATTTTTGCCGTAGCCTCCCATGTTGCTCTAACAAGCACCTCGATGGCCGAATCCTAGTCAAAATATTT